CATAGAAGTAACTTAGTTCTATGAACTTCTATCACAGAACAGACTACAGTCCATTCAGAAAAGGTTGATATCCTAGCTTTTGGCCATAAACGGGTCAAATTTTGAGTTTTCGTCTCCTTTTTTTGGCAATCCCCCATGGAATGCTCTTCCAATTGTGTTTTTGAAGTCTATTTCTCCAAAAAGCAGGCCATAACAAGAATAGGATTTCGGCCAGGTTTTGCCCCCAAAGCACTGAATCGGGTAAAAACCATGAAAATCCAGGCCGTTCACTCCACTTGCATAACAGTACATTTGCGGTTCGAACCCCAGTTGAGGTGCCTTTTTGGACCCTTTTTCAAGTTTCGAATCGCGCGGCACTGCACAGTGTACCACAAAATCGCCAAACAGGGGAGCTCTCCAGAGCCAGCGCTCAACCTTTTCTGAATGGACTGTAGCGAATCACGTTGATTTTTGACTGTGGAATGTGGGCGTTGGGTAGGTACTGCATCTCCCTCAGTTCTTTTTATTGTACACAGTCATTGTAAGAGTACCTGATAGGCATAATTATTATATCTAGTAGCAAGAGTACATAAGGTTTATGTACTCTTGCTAGTAGCAGTAGTAGTAGCGACATAGCTATCGCAGTATTTATCAGTATCAAAAGAGACACACCCTATAATATAGGCCTACCTGCATCTCCCGCACAAGTCCGCACCAGCACCGCTACCAGGCCTACGAGTACGATGATGCAGGCCAATGATGTTTGTCGTTCCGCTCGATTAGCGCACATTCTTCTCCGCCAAGACATGAGCAGTTTGAACTTTGAACCAGCGGAATGAAGTACTTGTAGAACGCACCCAGTAACAACTACAACAGTAACTAGTACCTGAACTACACGTATACAGCTGTTGTGGAAAGTAATAAAATTATTAGTTTGGCGTTCGGAGGCAGTTCAACAGTTCAACTGCTGGGCTGAGCGAACCTTCGCTCGTGTCTCTCAAAACACCGTCCAATTCAAACAACAGTTCTCCTATAGCGTAGACCACTCCGGATCATGCTGGTAAATGACTGCTGACATGACTTGACTGCAGTGGACTCATGGTTCAAAGAATCCAGAAGGTATGACGCAAGCGACATTCGAAAATGACAGCAATCCGACAACCACCAAGTTAGTAGTTTGTCACTCCTGCTTTGCGTTTCGCTAGGCGCCTGGCCCTCTGCAAGCACGGACCCGGTGACACATCGATTGCATACCATACATAGTCACGATGTAGATCTACATCATCATCGTACATGTATTGCATACAGTCATTATCATGTAGAGACCATTACTAGAGTTTTTTTTGTTGAAGTCGTGATTTTCTCCACCGAGTTGGGCGGCATGCAGGTTTCCGAGGACGTTTGCACCAAGCAGCCACTCGAAAGAGGAGCTGTCCAGGAGCGATGCAAACGGGGTGAAACTATTGCATTGTTATTAATTTGTATAGCTCCTGCGATGAATCAGCTGCGATACTGAAAAGATTGTCCAGTGCTCCCGCGATCCCGGTGCTGAAACTTCGAGGAAGCGGTCTTCTGCCCGCAGCAGGAAAGCCTCCGAAAGCGAAAGGCCGCAGCAGCTGGTCCACCGCAACACGTTACTGTCAACATACAGACTGTGGAGGATGCGCGCGTGTGTTTCAGCTGAAAAGGGATACTGTAATGCGTGCTACCAGACGCTTCGGACACGAAATGCAGTATTGACGCGGCTCACATTGCCATCGTGAAGGAAAGGATCGCACGGTGAAAGCAGTGGCGCATCAAGAAACAAGAAATGCTCACAGCTTCTTGGAAAAGGATCTCAGCGGAAGGTAGGTAGGTAGGTATACACCATGTACACGGCCCGGGTTTCAAGGTCAGCTCCTGTCCCTGATGATGTAATCACGGAGCATTCAATGCTGTTGAAGCTTTGCACTTGAATAAGGAGCTGTTGGATACACCAGGGAGTCGCATATACGACTCCTTGGGATACACCCGACCTTGCAGTATCTTCGATGCCAGCACACGATTTACAGCCCGATGATTATGAGTTCGATTGATTTAAGTTGTGTTTACATAAGACTGTTTTCAACCCGGGTCGAGTTCAGCCCGGGTTGAAAGTCTGTACGATAGACAACATAGGTGAGCGTTTACATGAAGACAGTTGACCCGGGTGAAATACTGATATGCCGCCGAAAGTCCACTTCTAGAGTTCTGTATGGTCACGTGAATCCTTTCGCACGAAATTTGCATGTGCAGTGCTATTCAAACCTGGCGCGAGATGCGCACAGAAGTAAGTTAGTACGATGTTCTCGCCCCGGGTTGATTTCAACCTTCCCTTGTATTGGGGCGCCGGGCCGCCGGCCCAGCATGTCAAAAATCACACCTCGGAGGAGTACAAACATTACAAGTCTCAGATGTCCTCGGTTAAAAAGTAAAAAGTAAATTATCGTGTCCGTTCCCGGAAGGGAACTCACGACGGCCGCTAACACCCGATAAACCCTAGCGGCAGATGCAGCGCCTAACGATGGGGGTGAGTGGATAAGTCTCACAACCACTGGCACAAGTGCCGAAAACGACCCTATTAGCTGCATCCATGTACCCCTTGTGCCTGGCCACAAGTTCCCAGTTGACTGTGGGTAGCAGCACGGCTGGAAAAACCGCTCCCAGGCAGGACTTGAACCAGGTACCTCTCAGGTACCTCTCGTATCTCAATCATGGTCTCTGACCAACCCACTGTGCCTGTGTCTGTCCTCGATTGCTGGCCATGAGTACTTTTAGCCCAAATACATGTACATGTACATGTATGTAGCCGTGCTAGAAGCACTGTTTTGCTTACGTAGTTTAGCTAGCATTAAACCGCTGATGCCTTGCCAGCATCAACACGCACATACTCGGACTAACAAAAGGGCCAAACTCCGCCACTTCTGCTTCTACTGCTGAAGAGTGAATAGTAGTTTATCTAAAGTAGTAAACTTAGTACCGTAAGTAGTAAACTTAGTAACGTAAGTAGTAAACTTAATACCGTAGTTACTAGTACGTCTGCATTCCATGCCATGCCCCTGGCCCCTGGATCTTTTAAGGCTCAGGTATGAGTAGCGATGTCGAAAATGATAGACGCGAGAACCAGTTCAACCAGATGCTGACTGTGCTAGTATTCCACAAGTAAGTTCCACACGCAGTAGACCATGGTCAGGCTGCAGGCAGACCATGGTAGACTAGATGTGGACTCGAGCATGCATAGGAGCAGCATGCAACCGTTATGGCTTATTCGCTTTGAGCTTTCTGGCTTCTGGCCGGTGGAATTCTGTCCCAGCTGACATTCACTCTTGCTCATCGTTTTCATTATTATTCCGCAAAGTCTGTACGTAATCACATACTGTAGGGTGCCCTGTAAAAAAGGCCTTAGGCCTGTGGGGATTACCCTATTCAAAATTTAAATAACATACTGGCCAACCCTCCCGTTTTTCCCGGGAAAATCCCGGAAAATCAACACTCCTCCCGGGGTCCCGGGGATTTCAAGCAAACTCCCGGAAAACCAAAGTTTTGTCTGATACAGGATTTTCCTGAAAACTCCATGGTTTCTCCCCGAATGTCCCGGTTTTTTGAACTTTTTTCAAAGGTATGTACGGTGCTCATTCGCACTTCGAACTGTGCACAGCACTTTGAAGACCTGACCATGCAAGATCTGCACTGACAAAGACTTTAGGTGACAGGCGGGCGCCGACTGATCACACTGCACTACAGCCTAGTACAGGGTCGATCTGTGCTGTACGCACAGCTGCAGAGTCGAACGTTTTTTTGGCGGGAAAAGCTCTTTTTCACTTGTTTTTGTGCCATCCAGGGATTTTGAGAGAAATCCAGGGATTCTGCATGTCTTGTCAAGGGATTGAGATTGTGGTGGTTGGTCAGTATGAAATAAAAGTCAGGCTACTACTAGTATGCTGCACGGTACAGGACTTGGTGGTAGACTATAGTATTCACGGTTGTACATACCTGGTAGCTGTAGCCAGGAGCCTGTGCATAAGCCCCCAGCCCAGGAGCTTATTTTACTCTTCAAGTGCTCAGGCACTGCAGTAGTATGATGACAGGGGGGGGGGGGGGCTGGAACTGGTGCGGCAGGTGTACCGATATCATGCCATAATTGTGGTATTTGAAGCAATGAAATATAGGCCCGTGCCCGGCTATTTCAATACCGTAGAATTCCACAGATAAGCCCACCCGCGCGTATAAGCCCATGCCCATAAGCCCAGGGTTTGTTCGGCCGTCACAAAGCTTCATCGTACAAGCCCATGGGCCTAGGTCATACCGAGAGTCCATAACTTGACTCTTGGCCATACCATGTACGTAGTACATGTACATGCACATTATAGTTTTTTTTCGTACATTTCAGCAGAATCATCGGTTGTTTTTGTTTGCACAGTGGTTTTCAGCAATGTACATGTACTTCTCACTTCCTTGATACTTTTCAATAGCACAACTTGGTGTCGGCGTATAAGCCCATGCCCGTGTATAAGCCCATGTTCTCGTATAAGCCCACCGAAATGTCTTTGTGAAACAGATAAGCCCATGGCCCCGGGCTTATCCGCGGGATTCCACGGTATTTGGGTCCAATTTTCCAAATCCGTTCCCAGGGAGGGTCACCCCAAAGTGGAATACCTTCCAATGCGCATATGCCCCTGCCGGCTGCCCTGGATGATGACAAGGCAGAGACAATCAGTCACATGATCTGGGTACAAACTGTGTGGGTAGGATCCCGGTCTGGTCTTGGGTAAGATTAGTTGGGACCATAGTCACCATACTACTGTACAAAAAAAATGATCCGTAGACCGTCTATGGGGTCATGGCCCCGCCGCGCGGTAACACGGTTTGTCCTCCGTGCGCGATCCGCCGCGCGCGCCGAGACTTGCGAATATTTTTTTAATAGAAAATCTAGAAAGTCTGTTTTACCGCCAAAGCCGAAAAGTCCGGCGAAATGCAAAAGCATGTTCCGTTTTCATGTATTTTCAGTTCATCATCGTTTATTTACACTGGATCGAAGACGTTCAAGCAGTTGTTGCCCATTGCCAGTGTGAAACAATCAGGCTATTTCACGGTAACTGAGAGTGGCGCAAGGCGTATGCGATGCTGCAATGAAGCCTGCGTTGCTGGCCCCAGATTTAGCTGCTTGAAAGGGCCTGAGTTTTGCAGATTCTGAACTCTTTCACACAGTTGCTACGGTGGCACTGAACCGGGCACACCGGCATGTCACGACTGGACAAGCTCTCCATTTGCGGTGTTCGCAGCTTTAGCCACACTGAGAAAGTCGTGGTGAAGATCTACAGCCCTCTAACGCTTATCGTTGGGCAGAATGGAGCTGGCAAAACGGTAGGGAAAGAGCTTGCCATGCTGATCTGACATCAAATGCATGTACTAGTATCCACTTGTACATCACAATCACCCACTCCCCTCCTCATGCCCCAGCCGCGAAAAAGAGGTACGCATGATCTGAGTGCTTTCCGCAGCATGAATACATCGCACGAATTCACCTTGTGTTCCTGGAGAAGTCCCGGAAGAAAATCTGAAGCATTTGCGACAAAACATAATAATTTAACTCGGATGGTGAGCCAATTAAATTATGGTGAAAAAAGGAGGACGAAATGTTACGAGTTATGACTAAGTTATGGAAGGATATGATATGGAAGGTTGTTGGTTTGCGCCTTGGAGAAATGTTGGAGTTAGGTGTCAGGTCGCCGAATGTCTCAGTACTCCTTTGTCAGTTTTGTGCCATTTTGTCGCACTCGCTGACATGTATAAGATCTGGTTACGTTGGTGGACAGTTAAGCGGGATTCACAGAAGCTTTTTTGCAATGCGACACGCGATGCGACGTGATCTGCGACGGATGCGTGCGATGCGAACTCGCGAAATACCATTCACAGAAGAAGTCAGCGATGCGACGTCTTGCTGATTTGGGTACGTCACCATGATATTCGCGCGGTTTGGTACAACTTGTACAAATTTATAGGCAACTCTTGAACCTTTGTACAACTTTGCTGTAGAAAAGGTCAAAATCGTACGCCAAATCGCTTGTCGCATCGCAAAAGTTGAGCCAAGCTCAACTTCTGCGATGGCCCAGTTGCGGCAGTTGCGTGGTGTGCGAGATGGCTGCGATTTGGGGGTTTCGCGGCAGTCGCATCGCAAAAAAGCTTCTGTGAATCCCGCTTTAGTCATAACTCGTAACATTTTGTCTTCCTTTTTCACCATAACATAATAATTTATGGTAGATATTGGTACAGGCGGCGGCCCAGGTGCAGGCAGCGAAAACCGGAAGAAACTCCCGTAGGCTGTTCCAGGGTCGAACAGGAATGATAAGAATTTCGAGTTGCAATTTTTGTGTGGAATGACGGATTTCACGAAATATCCCGGGGTCCGGAGTGGCTGCACTACAGCGCACCCTCCTGAAAGAAGAACCAAGCTAGAGAAAATAGAAAGCTGGAATTAGACATTTTCTAAATTCGAGAGAATGCAAGTACAATGTACACAGTACAGTACGATGCGTGGAAAACCAGGAGAAACGTCCGCGGACACACGCACGTATACATAGACACACGCACACACACGTACACTCATACACACACATGCACACACGGTCACACGCGCGCGCACACTGCTTACCAAATGATTACACAGCCACCAGGCACATAGCCTGTAGGTAGACATCCATCATCAGTGTACTGTGTACACTGTACAGTGTACATTGTACTAGCAAATGCACTGAGCAAGCTGCAGATGCTGATCATAGTACTAACATCTTATGTTACAGTTGAGCTTGTGCACCTGAGTTGTTGCAATGTTCAAATGAAGACCGCCCTGACCTTGATAATACAGATAACATGGAGTCAGTGCCGGGGTGCGGATACACACATGATAGTGTGGCACACAAGTACATTGCACATCACACCTACTGCAACATGGCGGTGAGTGAGTGAACATGCACAGCACATTCTGGCGCTGAACAAAACGCTGGAGTGTAATTCTGGCGACATACTCCACCCTAGAGAATCAGGATTGAGACAAACCTGACATTCATTGCTTTGCTTTGAAGCCTTTGACATCACAACCGTAGCAGTGGCGAGAAAGACACTGGATACGTGCGCTGTTGACAGTAAAGGAGTAAGAAGGTTGGCTGCTGACAAAACTCGAGCTCGCTCTTTTCCCGCCGACTTACCTATCTTCTTATAATTATCGCCGAAGTCGCAACCAGTAGGGTGCAAATAATATCGTACATGTACCAGCATTTAAAAGTGACACACAGTTCAGTGTAGGATACCCTGGATATAACATAGTATGTGACATGCAGTACTATCTTTAGTACCCTGCGTTATGCGATACCAGTCATCTGACTTCGGATGTACATGTTCAATACATCGGCTATGAAGTACACATTTGTACTTGTATGGCCATTGGATGTACATTACACTGAAGTTTCACGTTACTGGTACATGTGTATTTGTTGACAGAGTGTAATATTTACTATTTAGTGCTGTCTGGAATAGATGGTGTCGCCATGTGTGCCACATTACAGCAGCAAGGAACTGGTGAAATGATAAGGCCATGGTAAAAAATAAAGTTGATTCTCAGGTCATGAGCCTGTGAAAATCGGTGCGAGCGAGCGATTTTTTATTTTAATTCCCACAATTTTTTTATTTCCAAAGATAGGGTCACACATGTGTACGTCACAGGTTCATAATTAATTTATAATTATTTTATTATTCAGGCCAGGGAGTAGAAAAATACCGGTATTTTACTACTCCCGGATTCATGCCTTTCGCATTGACCGTTTTCATGCACGCATATGCATGCATAGAAGTAAAAAAATCGTCGGTGCGCCACCAAAAATCGATGCGCGCGTACTTGAGAATCAAAGATATTTTTTACCATGGCCTAAACAGGAATGTGTTAAATTCCTGACCTGTTATTTCACACGATTGGATCTTGCACTCGCAGTCTGCTTCTACATGTATCCGAATGCGTGCAAGAAAAAGACTTTAAAAGAGCGACACATTTGGCACTCATCTATCGAGGTGATTGGTGTATGGCTTGTCACTAGCCTGACTGCATTATAGCCTGGTGCTTTACATTGTAGAGGCTCATTTCTCGAATTATTATCAACCACCAAACCACACCGTTGCGCTCTCTCTCTTCAAAGAAGGAGCAGAGCACCGACTGAAGTGTCGTTATGCTGATGGTGTGCCGTGACAAGGCGTTGAGGTCGGCCGGAGAGCGCAACGGTGTGGGTTGATAATAATCTGGACAAGGCCGAATGCTGCTGATTACCCCTCTGGATTATAGGTTCATTTCTCAATCTGTTAATTGTGCTGTGCTGTAGACGATCATTGAGTGTCTGAAGTATGCCACCACGGGCGAGTTTCCACCGGGCCCGAAGACCGGAGCAATGGGGGCTTTCATCCATGACCCTAAGGTATGTTCTTCGCCGTTTTGAAACGAACAAATTGCAATTCCAGTAACGTGGCAGGCTGCGGCAGTTCCACCGTTTGTGCTGAAGTAGTGCATGGAATTGAAGTTTGTACTTCAAAGTAGCTCAACCAGGTTCTCGGATTCCAGTATATTCTTGTGCTTACAAGCAAGGAGACTACATGTACTTCATTTCTGGTAAAAGATGGCGATGGTTGAGTTACGTATAGTAGGAATATACAATGATGTTTTTTGTTTTTTGTTTGTTTTGAAATTTGGAATTTGTAGCCTTGATTAAATCATGCTTGAAGAGCATTGGTACAATAACGGCCAGTCGGGGCAGTTCGAAAGTGTGCTCAATGCATCGTAGTGCAGGGTGGTATACACGAAATCACGAGGGGTGCCTTGACTGTGGACGTCAAATCGCGTGGTCGTTTTTTTTATATGAAACCGGGCCCGAATTCAAGGTGCGTGATCATTGGGCGGAAATGCTGAACTGCTCAGGCACCCAGGCGAGGAAACACTGGTTCTCGTGAAGAAGAACCAATCAGCCATCCATCATCGTTGAGGTTGGAGCTTTCGTCCTGGCCTTTCATGAAATAAGATTGCCTGCAAAACTCACTCAATTTGAACTTGAAAGGCAAGCATTTTTTCCGAACGTCAAGAAATTGGAGAGCATAGTACCTCTCTTTGGCGTGTTTAGACGTTGTGTGAGCACGACCATCACGTTTCTGTTTCATGCTGTTGCTTGGAAGCGCGCCTCTTGCCGCAGTGTGAGCGCACCGCGCCCTAAGGAGCTCCGGGATCAATTTTCAGCTCGTTTACAAGTCACTAAACCTTTCTTTTGTCTGTTTGTGTGCAGGTTGCTGGTGAAAGAGAGGTTAAAGCGAACATTGCGCTGAAGTTCGTTGACGTCCGGGGCAATGTTGTGTGCATCACACGCCGCATGCAGGCTGTGCAAATGGTACGTCCTCATGGCAGTCCACTCATCTTTTCCCATTTCCACACAACCTGAGGTAGTCGTCTTTGTTCTCTTTTGCCATTGTCAATTTGTCATTCAGCCAAATGCAAGTGGCAGTAGCGCAGTTGGGGTCCCCATTATTTTATTTTCGCACTTTGGTGTTGTATCATGGTGCTGCAACATGGCAAAGTGTAGATGCGATTGTGACTGTACACGTGTCTTTACGTGTATTGCAGGCAAGTCGTATTACGTCGAAGACTGTCGAGTCTACAATACAGAAAGAGTGCAATGGAGAGGTAAGAAATGATGATGATGAATAGGTGTAGCAGTGTTGACTCCTGTTGTCCTTGTGACTGTAATGTTCTCACCCTCTTCAATGAGGTATATAATAGATAGTGATAGCGTATCCAGAAAGCTTTGGGGCATGGCGTTGACTTGAGGCATTATAGCTCTCTATATTGTATGGCTCATTCTCGATATCGATGCTTTTCTTCTTGTTTTACAGAAAGCCAGCATTAGCAGTCGCTGTGCTGACATCGATCGAGAAGTGAGTGGATACATATTTAGCTTCTGCCTCAGTTATCCTCATTATTGTCTTTGTTGCTGTTATTACGGCGGCGGCGGCAGCAGCTGCATCATTGGTGTTGGTTATAGTTGTAAGTACGTAGAATTTTCGCATTTGAAGTAATGAAAACAACATCCAATGTTCCGAAAATGAAACTGTGTGCAGTACACTGGTGGTTGGCTAGTCAGGAGTTTAGCATACTAGCTATGCCATTGTGTTGCTGTTGAAGTATGCGGATACATGCTTGTGTTGGGTGCATGTTCCAACGTGTGTCACTACATGCAGTGACGCATTGGAGTGTTTTGTTTGTTTGATCGCTCGCTCGCTCCTCTGATGCAGATGGTGTCCTTGTTAGGCGTCTCCAGAGCTGTGCTCAGCAATGTCATTTTCTGCCATCAGGAAGACTCCGCGTGGTAAGTGTGGGTGTAGAGGGAGGCCATTGTGACCTGCTGTTGACTCGACTGCACTCGGTTTGTTTTAGTTGTTGACTGATTGTTTCGGCTACTACTTCAGTGGAGCTTTGGAGAACGTTTAGCAATATGGTATTGTTGCAGCACACACCTGTAACCCAACAGCCAATGCATGCAGCCAACACACACTAGTACACACATCACTGTCTAGCTTTCTTTCTTAACCTGATAATTGTGGGCAAGTTCAGTGCTTGCTTTATTCGCTTAGTATCACGAATACAGGTTACGGGGTGAAGTGTTAGTTTACATTCCCATTGCAATCATTTAGGAGCTGCTGGCAGTGACTCGTGCTCCGGTGCTGGGCTGTGATTCGTGCTCTGGTGCTTGTCGGTGATTAGTGCTCCGGTGCTTGGCCGTGATTAGTGCTCTGGCGCTTGGCTGTGATTAGTGCTCTGGTGCTTGGCTGTGATTCGTGCTCTGGTGCTTGGCAGTGATTAGTGCTCCGGTGCTTGGCCGTGATTAGTGCTCCGGTGCTTGGCCGTGATTAGTGCTCTGGTGCTTGGCTGTGATTAGTGCTCCAGTGCTTGGCCGTGATTAGTGCTCTGGTGCTTGGCTGTGTATTGTGCGTAGGCCGCTAAGCGATGGCAAGATGCTGAAAACGAAGTTTGACGAAATCTTCGCTGCGACGAGGTTCGTTCTAGCAAGGGGGTGCACATTGACCTAAGCCCGGTGCGGGGGATGGGGGTTCCCACTCTCAGCCCATGCCGTCCGTTTTATCTGTGATACTGTGACATAAACGCTGTAGTACTGTACTGTCCCTGCAGAAAAATGAGGAGAGAATTTTGACATCATGTGGCAATATTGTGGTTGTATAGTACGATTATGCGGCCATTATGCGACAATTTTGGCTTTTAAGTGAAAATATGCGATGAATATGCAGCATAACAGAGCTACGGAAGCAGTGTCTTTTTAGGGAAACAGCATCGAAACAGAGCGCTGAAGACATCAGGAAAGTAGTCATAATTATGAGCTGTGACTAATGAGCTGAAAGTCAGAGACAAGTGATACTTCTGCATGTACTCATACAAGCAAGAATATGTCCCCGATACAACAAAATAGCATTCACCGCGGCGAAAGCATGGGCATCCAGTCGTGGTAGAGTATGACAAGTGCCTTCCACGACATCTGAGACTATAATTTGGGGTAATGAACTCCGTCTGGATGCAAACTGACCTTCATGCACCACGGTCGCCGACCTGCATGTGATCTTTCTTCATATACGCTTTGTCGAGCATCACGGCATTGGCAACATGGGAGTGCTAGAGCTCTCTGCGTCTGTGGCAACTACTGTACTTGCTTACACTGAGTTGGCAGGTGCCATGGTCGACAGCTTGCAACACAATCAGTATTGTCGGGTGTGTGCAAGTCGCTGTGTTCTGTTATCGTCTCTCTCTCTCTCTCTCTCTCTCTCTCTCTCTCTCTCTCTCTCTCTCTCTCTCTCTCTCTCTCTCTCTCTCTCTGCCATTTAGCTAGGCTAGTCTCTCTCTGCCTGATTCATCGTGTTTGGTGGCTGTTGTACGCACGTATACATCACAATCATATACTGTACAGTGTAGTGGTGCTGAAACTTGTGCATCTTCTATTTCTACATGTAGATACATCAAAGCTCTGGAAAACATCCGCAAGTTCCGCAAAGACCAGGTGAGGATATGTTCTTCTTTCGAATTGATGTTCCGCATTGCCTGTGTCGGCTGTTTTCGCAACCCAATACTTTGAAGTAGTTAGCGCACCCGACCATGGCTCATTTGCCTGTGTGTGTGTGTGTGTGTGTGTGTGTGTGTGTGCGCGCGCGCGCGCGTGTGCACGTGTGTGTGTGTGTGCGTATGCGTGCGTGCGCGCGTGTGCTTCCGCTTATCTTCATAGGACGGCACGTTGCGGGAGCTCAACTTGGAGCTGAAGTACCTGCGGGAGCACAAAGAAAAGGCTGCTGAGGTAGGTATGGTCAGCTAGTACTGTGCAAGTGGAGGCATGCTATTACCTACTTGTGCTTGGTCACAACTTGGGTGCCGGCTATACCAGGTTCAATTCATTTGTATTGTGTTGTCATGCTTTTAGAATGTCGATTGCAGGGTCTAGTTTTTCTTTGCGAGGGGCTAGGCACCAGCTGCAGATCTAGTGCTGCTTAAATGACTTGTCAGGATATTTGCCAAAGCCATTCACCGGCATGCTGCACCCCTTTTAAAGGGGAAGTATACCCTAAAATCAAATTTTCACCAGTTGTAGTCTTCTGGGTGCTGAGTCGAATGGTCTTGGTCCGAGGAAGCTGCGACGCTCCCTTCCTACTTGAATCCCAATCGAACTCGCGCACTTCCACCGAAACTGGGTGACTGCGCCCTACTAGATGGGGATTTGTATGCAAAATGTCACTAAAAGCGCCATTTCGTTCTTATAAAAGCACGGATGACCGCGATTGGCCCATATGTTGTAGTCTTTTGGACGCTGAATCGACTGGTTTTGGTCCGAAAAGGCTGCGATGCAGCGTTCCTCCTTTATTCCCAATCGAACATGGTTGAACAAGCGGTCACGTGCTCCTGCGTACACCAGTCACCTGGTCACCGTGCCTGCAGGGTACAACTTACTAGCCTGTTTGACCTTTTTTGGGTGCAGTCCTGTCACTCGAGTTGAACTCGAGTTGAACCTTGGTGTGAAATTTGTCACCTGCTGGCGCGGTGATCAGGTGATTTGGGCACCCAGGAGCACGTGACCACTTGTTCAACCATGTTCGATTGGGAATAAAGGAGGAACGCTGCATCGCAGCCTTTTCGGACCAAAACCAGTCGACTCAGCGTCCAAAAGACTACAACATATGGGCCAATCGCGGTCATCCGTGCTTTTATAAGAACGAAATGGCGCTTTTAGTGACATTTTGCATACAAATCCCCATCTAGTAGGGCGCAGTCACCCAGTTTCGGTGGAAGTGCGCGAGTTCGATTGGGATTCAAGTAGGAAGGGAGCGTCGCAGCTTCCTCGGACCAAGACCATTCGACTCAGCGCCCAGAAGACTACAACTGGTGAAAATTTGATTTTAGGGTATACTTCCCCTTTAAGAGCGAGCACACCACAGCACTGCAGTATCTGCAGTCACCATGACATGCCTAACAGGCTCAGCTGTTTTTTTTCCTGCAAGATTGCACACGAGTAGTCCGCAATGTCTAGCCTGATTGCGGCTCAACCGTCGGTTTTTGCACGCCTTCTGCAGCTCGGTGACCAGAAAGCGACGGCCGAAGATCGGATAGCCAGTGCCAAGGAGTGCGTTGCGCAAGTTACGGCCAAGCTGCAGCCGATCGAGGTAAGGCCTTAAGGGACGACGTGGGTCATAGCGTGTATGTGTGTCTTTGTTCAGTGCCAGTACATGTAGTCTGTACGCTACTCACCCTGGCTTCTGTACGCTACTCACCCTGGCTTCTGTACGCTACTCACCCTGGCTTCTGTTCTCTGATCTTACCTTAATTTCCAGTGTATAAGCTGCACTTTGAATCGAAAACCATCTGGTGCCTATCGTCTGTCCCTTATTCGCTTTCAGCACGAATCTGACGATATCGGATTGCATTCCTTCGAGACGCAGATGGTGTGTGTTGGGGGGGGGGGGGGGGCTATAATAAAATGAAAGGAAACAAAAAAAGTAGTGATGGAACGAACAAATAACCTGTATTCTTCGGGTTTGGCTAGTTCATTTCACTTAGCTAGACCCCGCATCCATTGTTGCCTACACAACGCATGGATATTGAATAACGACGGGTGTATAAATAGATTTGACTAAATAAGCGTCGGAGTTCTCAATACATACGTTATTTTCTACACTATCATTTTTTGCCAGTCTCTTCGACCTGTGAAGTTTTCTTCCGCATTGTCCTCTTGGCAAGTAGGAGAGTTGTTCCTTGCTCATTGTCTGTCTGTGCAAATCCTCATGTCCGACTTCTGTTGCTGTATGCTGTTCTCTGTTGTCCATCCCCCTTGCAGGAACGTCTGGCTGAGCTGCAGCAGGTTGCTCAGCAGTGGTACGAGCTGGAAAAGGAGATCGGTACGAGTTGGGTTTAGTAAACTAAACTTTATTTTCGTTGGTTTTGCTTGTGTGACGTACCAACATTTTATTTATTGTTTATTGATTGCCACCTATGTGTTGTTGTGTCTCTTCTGCCTCTTCTTCAGAGGTATTGGGACATCAACATTCAGAGAAAGACCGGCAGATCATTGAGCTGCGTTCTCGGATCAACGTTGTCGATGGTACGGTTGCAGTGTGTGTGTATGTGTGCGTGCGTGCGTGCATGCATGCATGCATGTGTGCACCTGTGTGTATGTGCGTGCATGCACATATTAGTGTGAAATATGTACATACAGAGAAAAAACGTGCTGTGAAACCGAAGAAAACATGCAGAACAAGTACAAGTATGATGAATGATTGAATATGTCCAGGTCCTACTCACTCTGTTCACGTCTGGTTTGCAACAAACAAACATTATGCCATTTGGAGCTGCAGAGAACGGCTGTGTAAGCACTGAAGCGCAGCACAGGTCCCACTTCGCTTCGTGACTGAGCATATCTGTGTTGAGCTACAAAGCAATTTATTCTCTTGATGATGTGGCACAACTGCGTAGTCACGGACACATTCTCAAGGTCATAACTTGGCAAATGCATGCAAGTGACTCCGATGGCTTCGAGAAGAGCAACACCTGTGAAAGCCGATGGGAGATAATGACGATACCAAGAGTACATAAACCAGAGTGTGCAACTCGGGATGGTTCCTGTGGGAGCGTAATTCGTGCAGTACGTCATTTCCGACGGCATGGTAAGCCACAGGTACGGTGAAAAGTTGCGTATCCAGTCACGGTGGTGCAGGTCACTGAGTTTGTCCTGATTTCGGTTTTTTAATACGGATAGCCTGGTAAATTTACTTGTCGGTGGATGTACACAATCACACAAAAACACCGAAATCCTGAAACAGGACGTCTAGAATCAAGCAAACTTGGCTGATTTCCGGGCTATGGAACACGAAAATTTGAGCCGTACGCAAGTCGCGGCTTGACTGACCTCATCAGGGTGACGTAGTGCACGAACTGCGCTGTTTCAGATCTGATATGCACAGTTGCACACTCTGGTTTATGTTTTCTTGACGATACCTAGTACTGTAGGTTGGCAATCGTGCAACAGTAAAATTGTGCTCAACATATGGGCGCATACATACATACATACATACATACATACATCTTCACTGACTTCTGTCTTTACGGTGGACTCTGTGCACGTGTGTACATGCTGTACATGTTTGAAGAAAGCAGTCCTGCGCTGTGGGTATCGGGCACTATGTCGGCAGTTACAACTTGCTTTATATACGGTGTATACTGATTGCTTTTGGTTTCTTGTCTCGTCTGTGATGCACACATGCTCACCCAGGAACAATGGATGATCTCGAGGGAATGTTGGCTGACTCCAAGAATCGATTGAATCGTGAGAAGACCGCCTTGCAAAAGGTGCATGATAGCGATGGCTGTGTGTGTGGGGGGGGGGGGGGGGGGGGGAGGAGGAGATGTTCCGTACATGCACAAGTGCCTGACTAAGGTGCTTTTCTAAAGCTTGCTTGTGTGTTTATTGGGTACTATGGTGGTGTATTGTAGTCCTTGCAGCGTTACACATTGTGAAACCGTCCTCTGATCTATGGTGGTGTATTGTAGTCCTTGCAGCGTTACACATTGTGAAGCCGTCCTCTTATCTATGTCAGAAGCATGATCAGAGCATGCATTGTTAGTCTGACGCAGTTTCATGTTGGGAGTCCACTTTGTTTCACAAATGCTACAAGAACTGGCAGGTGTGTGTGTGAGTGTACGAGTCTTCTCTTGCAATGTAGCTCCCTGTTGTCGTCTTGCGTTGTGCAGCAAACCAGTCAGCGTACCGATTTGGATCGGGAGCAGCGGCAGCTCTCTGAGTCCAGGAATCGACTAGCCCGGGAGCATGGTCGCCTGGAACAGGAAGCAGAGGTCAGTGATATTGGCAATGCATTGACACGCAGGTTACATTTTCTATGTTGTGGACTCTCTGCAATGACAAACATGCCAGGATAGTAGTTCAAGATGACATATTTTATACACGAAGGGCTAACCTTCCACTTTTCCAAGAGAGTTAGCTGAATGGATGCGTCCCAGAAGGTAGGATGTTTGCAGGCCCGGCGGAAGCAATTGTTGATTGGTCCGGCCATGCCCACAGAGCCGGGCCCATCATACCCCATCCGGATGAAACTTAAATTGGAGAAGAAAATTGGGTACAAACGTCAGCCGGAATGCCCGGAACAGAACAGTAGTGGGATGGCGACCGTTGGAAAATACCGGTACGCAGAACTTGACATGGCAGAAGATAGAAGAGTTTGCGTAGAATACATGGTGAAGAAAACATTAGGGTAGAATTTGACGCACCATGTTTACTAACACACAGGGTTTGATCAGTCAAACAAGCAGTGTGTTCCATAAAACTTAACACAAAGCTCTCAAGCGCGGCCAGAAAATTTGCCAAACACAGACATACGATGCTCGTGGGAGCCAACAAAGGCATCTGCAACAGCTACCAGAGACAGCGCATCCGTGTGCTCTTTATGCACATGCAGCAACAGGAGGTGATTGAGGCGGCTCTGCTTCATTGTGGTTCGGAGGTACGTCTTTAATCGCCTGAGTGCACTGAACGACCGCTCGCTGATGGCATTGGTGGATGGCATTGTCAATACCAACTCCAGGACAAGCACCACCTGGGAGATCAACTGCCGCTCTGCAACAGATAGGCCCTGCAGGTACCTCTGGATGTCACGGATGGTGATGTTCTGTGTTTCTTGAGAGTAGGCAGAATGGAGGATCTCAAGATGAAGTCTCAGCTGCACTGCATCGACGTCGTCCTTGTAGAAGCCAGTGACCGCTGCAAATGCTGCCTCCCAGGGCTTGCCACGGACACACAAAAGCAGCAAGTCTTCAAGATTCTGGTAGATCCTGAATCCAGGCTGATCAAATCTCCTCTTTATAGCAGTGACGACAAGGTCCAATGCCTCATAGTACTGCTGACGATACATGGCCTTTGCGGTGGCAGGGAACTCCGCCTCTGCAGTTCCGGGTTCAAACCGCCGGGGGGCCTTCCTCCTTCGGGGGAGCTCAGGCTCATCCACATCCACATCTGCTTGGTGGAGCAGTACCGTCGACCAGAAGGAGTCAAAGTTCTCGTCAGTTCTCAGTGACTCGAGCGTGGCGGTGGTCATAGCTGCAGCACGGGCTCCCTCTGACGCAGAGATAGTTGAGGATTGCAGAGTCTTGCTGAGGTTGTCCGTGTGATGGAGGATCAGCTGACCAAGATGAATGCCAAAGAAGTAGCGAAACATACGGAACTGGGATTCAACTCCAATTATCCTTGCTCGCATAGTTGGATCAGCTGTATCACCCTGCGTAACATCCCACAGCTCCTGAAGGACCTCATAATTGTCCATGACCGATTTCAGGGAGTCAGCACGCACAGTCCAGCGGGTTGGACAAAGAACTCGAAATCCGGGCGAGTCAGGAGCCAGTTCACTCTTGATCTTGTCGAATATGGTGCCACGCTTCGGTGAAAACTTCACCAGTTTGGACACTTCAAATGTTGTGTCCAGGGCGTCCTTCAAAACTTTGCAGCTTTTGACGGCATCACCAGCAGCTAAGTTGAGAGCATGCCCATGACAGTGCAAGAACAGTGCACGAGGCTCTAGTTCACTGAGCTGCTTAGCAACTCCACTCCTTCCTCCGGACATGTTGCTCGCGCCATCGTAGCATTGGCCACGACACTTGGATATGGACAGATTGAGGCGAATCAACAGATCCTTCAACACCTGCACAATCGTGGATGCAGATATATTATCAATCTTGTACATCCCGACGACATCTTCAATGGGCTCCAGCGTATCACTGTCTACCCAGCGAATGCAGATTACCAACTGCTCCTTGTTTGAAGTGTCGGTGCACTCATCAGCCATGACAGTGAAGAAGTGTGCGTTTCGAATACGACTGCTGATTTCCCGCAGCACAGAAAGTGCCATCACTTGCAGCAACTCGTTCTGCATGTCATGAGAAACGTACTTATCAGTTTTCTTCTCAAGCCATGTTTTGACATGAGGATCATCTTGCCCACGGAGCTTCAGCAGCTGCATAAAATTAGAATCTTCCTCTGATCCGTCTCCACGTAATGCCAAACCTTGCCTCGCCAGGAACTGAAGGTTCGAGACAATTTTCAAGAAGCACTTCCTATTCTCCTCCTTCTGCTTTGCGTGCGCACCTGAAAGCATCTCGCCAACATCAGGAGTTGTTGCTGGTAGCACTAGCAGCATTTCCACAGCATCGCGATGGTGACTAGAAGTCTCATGGTTCTTGAAACCCACAGTAGCGTCCTTCCAGTTGCAGAATCCGCTTGAGAGAAAAGCCGTGTCCCCACGCTTCGGTAAAAGTTTTTTCGCCAGCACAGCACTTGCGCACGTGTGACACAACACAACGTCTCTTTTCTCATCGTAGGTCAACCAAGACCATGTCTTGAAATAAGACGCCTGACAAGAGCGCTTCACCACTGTCTTTTTCCCAAATTCCCGCCGAGGAAACGCGAAGGAAGTGGTTGGGTGGACTGGCACTTCTGGCACAGATACTTCGCTGGAAGTGGCCATAGCTGCTAAGCAGCATGCACTGCGGCTAAGCTGACCGAACAGCGAGACAAATAAAAACTACTTCGTTCAGTAAAAGAATCTGAAGCACTCGACGAAAAACCCTCAAGTCAAGTACGCGTACTACAAAAATGTAGAATCCATCATGGCACGTGCTTTCAGGTCACGCGACTCGCGCCACAGTACACAGGGTACAGAAGTTACAGGCCCACAGGCGCCACAGCTAGCCCTCAAGCGCGCACGCGTGCACGGCAAGATCAGAGCGAGATCGCAAGTACGCGTGCTGTACCTTCGATGATCACAACATGCGTCCTAAAAAAATCGTCGGTGGCCGAAAAGTTGGTCCGGCCATGGCCGGACCGACCGGAGCGGCTCCGCCGGCCCTGGTTTGGGCACTGGAACCCGCAAATTCTTGATCCCCATTATAAAGAGGCAAACCAGAGGATGCCCCCCCCCCCCCCCCCCCCCTTGCGTCCACGAACACGAAAGGGGAATGACAATGTGCAGCACTGCGAGCATCATTGATAGTGGAGTATGCCTTACCCTCTTTGTGCTAGTCCAGTAGGAATGCAATCGCAGTTTGTGGGAGTGGGTCAGCTGTCAAAAAAGATTAGGTCGTGAAAAAATGGTCTTTGTTCTAGTCTTCATCTCAGGTATTATTGAATTTTGTTCTAGTCTTCATCTCAGGTATTATTGAATTCTGTTTGTGATTGTCCACGTAGGCACACCGCAATTCTGTCAAGAAACGAGATGAGCTAGCAGTGAAGCTGGCACAGCTCATGAAGAAGCCTGGTATGTTTTGTTCATTGCAGTTATCCTCATGACATGTGAATTGCAACTGAAAGCCTTTATTGTTGCTATTAGCAGATTTCAGTTTTGTCTATTACATGTAAACGCAGGCGTTCATGATGTTGAGTATCACCTCCACCACTGTTCATGATGTTGATTGATGTAAAGTGTGACTGTCTGTACATGTAAGCCTTTATTAACCAATGATCCAAGTGACATGCACATGTACATGTATGTTCAAGTCTACCAGTGAGTTCCAACAAGTGCATTTCTGCCTGTCTTTCCTGTGCTCCGGTATGTCCTTGTAGAGTTTTCTCGTGGTTCCTTTGACGAGGAGCGGTCGACTGCCTTTCTCCGCAACCTGAAAGGAGAGGTGGAGGGGTTGATCAATGGACATCGCCAGCAAAAGGTGTGTGGGTGTGTGCGCGTGTGCGTATGTTATGCTGGCACAATCAAACCTCTTCGAGAGAACCCCAAAGGGACCGGTGGCATTCGCTCGCCATAGCGCGGGCCGATCTACTTATCCCTACATTCTGCACAGTGAACACGCTGTACTGTGCTGTACTCTTCTGTACTGTGATGATGTGTGATGTGATGTGATGATGTGTGATGTGATGTGATGATGTGATGATGTGATGATGTGATGTGATGTGATGTGATGATGTGATGTGATGATGTGATATGATGATGTGATGTGGTGATGTGATGTGATGATGTGATGTGATGATGTGATGTGATGATGTGATATGATGATGTGATGATGTGATGATGTGATGATGTGATGATGTGATGTGATGTGATGATGTGATATGATGATGTGATGATGTGATATGATGATGTGATGTGATATGATGATGTGATGTGATGATGTGATGTGATGATGTGATGTGATGATGTGATGTGATGATGTGATATGATGATGTGATATGATGATGTGATGATGTGATGATGTGATGATGTGATGATGTGATGATGTGATGATGTGATGTGTGATGTGTGATGTGATGTGATGTGATGATGTGATGATGTGATGATGTGATGTGATGTGATGATGCGTCATAGATGCACATGTACACTGTAGTTCTTCTAAAGCAAAGTATGCCTTCTCAGTGGATGTAGTTTCACGGTATGCACACACACACACGCGCACACACACACACACACACACACACACACACACACACACACACACACACACACACACACACACTGCACATGCATGTGCCTTCTAAAACAAGTACCCAGGCTTCTACTGTGAATCCTGTCATGAGTGCATGGCCAGGGGCAACTGGTATTGTTCTCACATGCAAGGAGTATTGCTGTGAAGTGGGAATTTTAAAGATGGTCTCACTTTAGCGATTTTAGCCAAGGGAGGGGAATTACTAAACCGTAACCCTTTTCCAATGAGAGTTTGTATTCCTGCGATCATCATTCACATGACTGGGGATTTTTTCGACTAGGGACTCTAGTCGCTGAACTCGGTTGTCGCAAAATTAGGTTTGGGAATCGCAAATGATTCTTTCTGCTAAATTTACCCGTTTGTAGAAAATCAGTTGCAGACACACTGCTCCATGTTGGGAATTGATCTGCTCCTGACTGGCTTCCTCGCGCAGTTCCTTGCTGGTTTCTGTATAGTTGTAGTTGCTGGCTTGTTTCTGCGTGTAGTTCCTGACTAGCTTGTGCATGTAGTCCCTGGCCATAGCAGATTTGACTGTACTAATATTTGTGTGTATTTTCAAGTTCTAGAGCGTGAAGCTGGGTCCAGCGTATTGCTAAGAGGATGTTTGTTGGTTTGTTCTTGTGGTGCTGTGTTCAGCAAGAGCATGCTGCTGAGCAAGAGAGGCAACAGCGTGACATTGACACCATCAACAGCAACCTTACCAAGCTGGCCGAGGCAAAGCGCTACAAGAGCAAGCTGAAGGTCGGTAACTTGGTATTGCATCGTTGCGTGAAAGCACACGGTTCACTCCGTGTCAGTGGGAGGTAGTGCTATGCACCCGGTGTGTCTTTCCGCCACTGTTAGTGTACCAAACTGTGTCTTCCTGTGCCATCAGTGTTTCACTTTGAGCTGGGTCACATGAGAGACTCATACGGCAGTACAGCAGTATTGAGATCTCTTTCTGGACTTGATTGTTTTGTTTCCATTACATTTATCTTTGTTTTGAGACAATCGTTGGTCTTGTTTCAGCAATGTTGCCATTGTCTCTTGTACCTCATACAAGGATGGGGGTGGGGCAATCACTTACAATTGCTGCTTGCCACACTTGCTTCTACTTCAGGTATGTCGTCGAGACTGGATACCAGGTCTACACGACTCTGTTGAAAAGCGAACATGCGTCTATCGTGATGTTGGACATGTTTCTTGTCTTCTCTCTGCTGCTGTTGTTCAGGCTGAGAATGACCAGAAGCTGCAGCAGATTGCTCGCGGGCTGCGCGAGGTGTCCGGTGCCGAGGGAAAGCTCAACATCGCGGAGCTGGACATGAAACAAGCGGTGTGTACGCGCTAGCCGCCACAGACTGGCGGTGTATCTTGATTTTCCGCTGCCTTGTGTCGTGTGCACTCCTAGTAGTCCTGCGCCGGTGCTGTCGAGCATTCTATGTTTGCACCCGGCAATCTGCCCTGGTGTCACGTGAAGTTGATGGGTGATGGGATCGATGTATTTAAAACGATTAGCTCCATACCACGGTTTTTGCAAACATACTGTAGTGCTTTGTATAATAGCCCGTCTCGTATAGAAGCCTGTTTTGAATGCAAGCCTGATTGCTAAGATACACTGTCAGCACCATACGCCTGGTTTTAGTATTGACATACACAGAGATACATGCTTTGAATAGAAGCCTGGTTTTAGTATTGACATACACAGAGATACATGCTTTGAATAGAAGCCTGGCTTGAATAGAAGCCTAGTACTGGCATCGGCTTCTACAGGAATAAGTTCGGCTTTTACACACGACATTACGGTACTTTAGAGCTCCGGCAAGAAATCCTGTGGAGGATACACTAGTCCAATGCTCTGTAAGATGTACTGGAGAAGAGCGGGGGTGATACTTTCGGCTTATGTTGTGGTGCTCTGCCTTTGTATCCTTTGCTGGTGCAGGAAGAGGCGTTGAAGTCTGCCGAGGAAGATAGCACGCATGAACTAGACCGAGAACAGATTGGCCAACTTGAGCGCGAGAAGAAGGTCTTGGACAGAGAGATCAGTGAGCTGACGTACGTTTCTCCGATTTTCTTCAGTTCTTTGCACAGACAAGAGTGTATGTCTGTGCAGCATGGCAATTTCAGCATCGCGGCCTGATTGACATTGGAACTCCCCATTCCTCTGCTGCCCTTACATTGATCTACCATTCAGGCCTTTCCCTGTAGGTTGGGGTGAAAACTCCATTCCCTTGGTACACTCCGAGAAAAGATGGTTTGTGTATCAGGTGGTGTTTACTCATTCTCAAACTAAAGCTGTATTGTAGTTGATGCGCGGCATAACGTCCTCTCCCTCTGTGTGTGTCTGTCTCTCTCTCTCTCTCTCTCTCTCTCTCTCTCTCTCTCTCTCTCTCTCTCTCTCTCTCTCTCTCTCTCTCTCTCTCTCTCTCTTCCCAATGACCTGTGTTTGTTGATAACAGGACAGAGGTAAGCCGTGCTCACCAGTACACCAAAACTCGTGCAGAACTGGACATCCTTAAAAAGACCCGACTTGCCAAGGAGGAGGCCATCAAGAAGATGTGAGTGCATCTTCTTTACTTGCCTGCTGCACCGGTTCACTGTGTGGGTGTGGGTGCGTGCGCCCGGGCATGCTCATGTTTGCTTACCAGCAACGTGTACCATGTTGGGAGCATGAGCTTGCTCTCCCTGTCACGTGTATGATGCTGTCTGTGCGGTGAGAAACCTTGTCTGCCAATTCTGGACTACTTCTCACAATCAAAATTATGTAGATCGAAGAGCAAACGATCAGCTTCCGGTAGAAACGATTGCCATACAATATGACCAGCTTTTGGAATCGCCAGTGTAGTGGCTGCCCCACAGCACCAACGAACAGCCAGCCAGTGGAGCATGGCTGCCCCACAGCACCACAAAGAAGCAGATTGCATGCGTGTATACTCGTTTGTATGCATATTCCTTTGCGTGGTTGTGCAGCGAACGTGATCATGACGACACACTGGTGAAGCTGTTTGGTGGCACACTGCCGGAGAACTTGCAAGAAGCGTTCCAGGGCCAACTGCGGTAAGTGTGTCCCATGATGCTACTGCATGTAGTCATGTACTGTCTACTAAGCCCACTCCACTGTGTAGGTGGACGTGTATAGTGTGATCATGCTTTGTCACCCTCTACAAGTACACTGTGCTGTGTTATGTTCAACTTTAAAGTCCCGTGCATGCCTTGTGTGAATGGGGGTCTGGGTTGAGCGCGGACCCGTGCTTTCATCCATGCAGCTACATGTGTAGCGTACGTGTGCGCGGCTTCAGGTGGTGTGGCACAGCATTGCCTTATAGTCGGTCTGGGTGTCATCGGGCACTGCTGTGCGGCATGTGCTGTTTGCCTATGAGCATGACGACATGACTGGTAGGATTGACGATGCTGTCACTGGTTAATACCTGCTGTGGTTGCTGCTGCTGCTGCTATTTAGGGAACGTCGTGACAACATGCGGGATGTGAAGAAGCGCAGTGGTGAGCTGAGTTCGCGCCTGCGCACCCAAGAGACCGACAAGTCCTACCACCAGTATGTTCAAAATGATCTCTCGGTGTTTGCTTGGTGGAGTTTGCAAGTATACGTGTGGCCTGTCCACAACGGTACATGATGTGTGTGTGTGTGTGTGTGTGTGTGTGTATCAGCTTTTGTTTGCTGGCTGTCTAGGATTATACCAGGCTGCACCTCCTGCTGTGTGTTTCATATGGTACTACCAGTATTTGTGTGTATGTGTGTGCTTTTAACCCGCCTGTGTCCTCCCTTTCCCAGAAAGCAACTTAAGCAGCATGAGCGTGAATTGCAAGGTAAACTGCATTCTAGTTTGTACTTTGTAGTGTGTTTATTCTCTGGATATTTCAAAAGCAATGCTATTGCATTTGTGCTGGCTGTCCGGTCTCTCTCTCTCTCTCTCTCTCTCTCTCTCTCTCTCTCTCTCTCTCTCTCTCTCTCTCTTTCTCTCTCTCTCTCTCTCTCTCTCTCTCTCTCTCTCTCTCTCTCTCTCTCTCTCTCTCTCTCTTGCAGTGATTTTTCCCACCTGAGTTCTTTGTCACTATTCAACAGTGCATACTTTCTAGTTCCAGGAGTAATTAACTATAGAAATCCGGGGTCTATTTCAATGGGAGCAATGTGCCCACATGTTGCACCTGAGTAATGGACAGCGTGGGCGTTTCGGTCTTTAATCACTTTATGGGAGTTGATGATCTACTTATATATGTCCCGGTGGTTTGGGAGCTGCACTCTACCTTGATCCTAGGGAGTGATGGTGTACAGATGTGGAAAATTCAGTCTGATTGACTCTGTCGCGAACCCTCACATTTATTATTTCAGTGGACAACAAACAGTGATCGTGGGAGCGGCATTGATGGTTCATTGGTGCTCTTTGCAGGCTTCGAGCGACGTGTTGAGGCGGTGTGCCGAGAAGGAGAAGTCAACCAAACCCTGAAGGAGGTGGAGACGAAGATCGAGTCTCTTCAAGAGTGAGTATTACAATATGTACATTGTACATTATTTCTTCACGCAATATCGGTTTCAAATGCATTGTGTGCACTGAATAATCAATTTTCTGAAGACGAATGTACTTGCGGCACTTCCAATCCAGCGTGAACATTTCGAAGTCACGAGGATTTTGTTCTATGTACCGAATGTTCCACGATAATCCTTTTTCGCATTGTGAAGTTCCTATGCACGCCAGAGCCACCGCTCTTGGCCAACAAGTGCTTTTGAATATCTATTGCATGCATCAAACCCCATCCTGGAGCTGGAAATCTCTAACGGAATCCTATTGCTCTGTGTCTGTCGCTGACTGTCCCCATTACATCCATATATCCATGATCATAATACATATCTATCTTTCTTTCTCTTCTTCATTTTGCAGTGATCTCGCTGTCACTGGTGCTGCACCAAAGTTCTTCAATCTCCTTCGTAAGCTGCTGGAGAAGAACCACTCGTGTCCAGTGTGCGACCGCAACTTCCAGCGCGAGTCCAAGGAAATGGAAGTCGTTGTGAAGAAGGTGAGGACACATCCCACTCGCGGTGTAGTTTAGCGCAGCCGGGAGCTTGCAGTTCGTGTGCGTAGCCGTCTCATGTTAAACATGGTGTGCATTCTTCCTGATGCTAGTACCATAGTGGCCTGAGCTCAACCCTGGACATGCTGTGTGTTTGTATTGTTGTCACAGTATTCTGGATATATGGTAAGGCGCATTCAATCATTTTTGTCTCATTCTGCTGGGTAGCCAGTGGCCACACATGTTCTTCTATCACTTCGCATCAGGGTGTGATGCGTTGCTCTGTGCCGTACTGGCCATGTGTCGTGTCCGACTGCTGTGCCTTTCCGCTCTTCTGCTTTTCTCACGTTTTGTCCTGTAGCTTGCTGACAAAGGAGCAGCCATGCCACAGAATAAGCAGAAGATGCAGAGTGACTTGACAGCAGCACGTGCAGAGTTGAAGAAGCTGCAGAATATCCGACCATTGGTTGACAACGTAGGTTCTTTTAACTTCTTTATCAGTTTCTAGGATACAGTGAAACCAAGAGTACATAACCCCCCAGAGTGTGCAACGCCTGATCCAGTTCTGCATAGGGTCTTGGTCGAGCGGAATCGGATCTTCTGATGTCATGCGTACACTCCACACCAGCGCAAGGCCGGTCTCGAGGCAGGGCACCGTTGTTTTTGATCCGAGAGTACCCGCGACTCCCCGGGTTCCCCTCAGATGTGTACGGTATTATGACGCAAAGATCCGATTACGCTCGACCAAGACCCTATGCAGAGCTGGATCAGGCGTTGCACACTCTGGGGGGTTATGTACTCTTGGTGAAACCTGTCTAAGGCGACCGCTCCAGGGGCCTTCGTATGTGGTCGCTTTGTGCAGGTGGTCTCCTTACCCAGGGTCGGTTGACAGGAAATAACATCCCTTGGTCCTAGTTGTAGTGGTCCTCTGAGGCAGGTGGTCACCTTATCAGAGTGGTCGCCTTGACAGGTTTTACTGCAGGTGCAATAAAGACATTGGGCTTTTTTGCGTTTATACCGGACGTTGTGTCCGATTGAGCTCTAGTCAGCAATGTGATATTGCTGTTGATTAACATGTGATATCTCATTTGCGTTGCAATTCATTGCGACTATGCTGTTCCATTGTACATGGTCTGTTGTGCTTCAAACAGCTGACTGTGCTCTCTTTTTTCTCCCTACTCATTTTCTTCTTTCTCTAGGTAGGTATGTATGTATGCATGTACTTATCAATCTACAAGTATGTCTTTCTATCTTCCCTCTCACGCTCCCTCTTGCTCTCCCTTTCTCCCCCTTTCTCTCCCTCTCCCATCCAGATGGCGGAAATTCGTCAGCGGAAGATCCCTGACACAAAGAAGAAGATCTCAGAGCTGGATGAGCAGATCGGGTCGCTGACTGAGCAGTCGGATGAGGTTAGCACAGCATTGTTCTTTGCACTTGTGGAACTCAATTAAACTTGGTAGGCTGTAGGCTGTAGTGACTGCATGCTGAATGTCCCTGCTCTTGCTGAAAAAGATTGACTGACCGTAAGGGAAGGGTGGGGACATATCGCTGGTCGTGTTGATTCTTCTTTCCTTGAACTTTCCTTTGCTTTAGTGCGTATCATAATTATCATTATTGTTGTGAGGCCTGGTTAACTTTTGAATTGTTGACTCCTACTCAGCTATTTACACATTTCTCTCTCTCTCTCTCTCTTTCTGTCTCTTTCTACTCTCCCTCTCCCCAACAATATCTTCGTTGCGAACAACTGACTTTACAATTGGTCCTTTCCCAATTCTTTACCCAATGGACCATGCCCGAACATTTGGTGACATATACAGTTGTTCACAGTGCAGAGATCGTTTGGAACAGGGGGAGAGAGAGAGAGAGACAGAGAGAGGGAGGGAGGGAGGGAGAGAGAGAGAGTTACGGTTTGAGTTCTTGTGAACTGTTATCACTGTTTAATAGTCCCTACTTGTCTTTGTGTGTCTGCATGCGTTTCCATGTGTAGCTTGCCGAAGAAGAGGCACTGGCTGATGCAGAGCTTGGGGAGCTTGAACCTCTGGACAGTGACATTAAGATGTTGCAGAGCCATCGTGTAGACCTGGCGAAGCTGGAGAGAAGTATTGCTGAAAAGCAGGGCTCTCTCAGAGGTAAGACTCCGCTCAATCGTGCAGTGCTGGTGGCCTTTCTTTGCGAAAAGCGTATGGTACTCTTGAACTGCGGCGTGAATGTACAAACTCCCCAACATTTCCGAATGAAGTGACTTGCACATGCAGTGCACTATGCATGAGCATGGTGCACACACACGCTCACACACACACACACACACACACACACACACACACACACACACACACACACACACACACACACACACACACCACACACACCACACACACACATACACACATACACACACCCCACACCACACACACCACCACCACCACACACACACACACACACACACACACACACACACACACACACACACACACACACACACACACACACACACACACACACACCACACCACACACACCACACACACCACACACACACACCACACCACACACACCACACCACACACACCACACACACCACACACACCACACACACACACACACACCACACACACACACACACACAACTCCCAACGGCACTTTGGTCATCACAGAAGCGTGCCTGTAGTGACAGTCGGTACGACTCCGCTGGCTTTTGCTCTATGCAGTGGATTAGAAGTCGAATATGAGGCCTATAAATAATGAAAACTCAGGTGAACTTTCTATTCGCCAACATCCCTCCTATCGTTAGTCGAATGGCTGGGTATTTCAATCGGTATGGTGTAGAACTGGCAGCATTACCTGCAGACAATAAACGTATTTGCAGATGCCTTGGATGAGCATCAAAACAAGGAGATCGATTGAGGGAAGAAAACATATCTTCAATCCGCAATACAACAGGCAAATCACACTCATGCACTTACCAAATCAATGGTCATGCCCCCCCCCCCCCCCCCCCCTCTCGAGTTTCACGTTACCTTGTTTGGGAAGAGACCCATCGTAGTCCATAGTAGTGGAAAATTTCACAAGTTAGCAATGGAACAAGGCTGAATTAAGCTTTAACTCAGTGAGACATGGTGTGTAATACTGGTCTGTGCAGTACTATACTGACAGGCTTCTCCAGCTACTGCAGCTCTGCCTGTAAAGTAGAGTTAGTTGCCTTCAGGATAGCTCTGCCTTTGAAGCTGCCTCCAGGATAGTGTCGATGTCTCTGTAGTGTTGATCTTTGGGAGCAGTGATGTGACAGGAGCAGGACTGGATTCTTGCTCAGATTAGTGTTGGTCCTAGGACTAGAAGCTGTAGGTGGATCCAGCAGGCTTGCCGCCGCGGCCAATTTAGCGGTCTTCTCTGGTTGGTTGTTGATTGTGCCAGGCTCTAGCAAGTCTATTCAAGCACTGACGCAGGAGCTGCAGCAGAAGCAGATCGACAGGTAAGGGAGTTACGTCATGTGTTTGATCATTTCTCACCGGTGCTTGTGCCAGCGTGGCTTGCTCCATCCTGTGTAGAAGTGTGTACGCCGGGCATGCATGCAGGGGGCCCAATCAGCAGATCCGGCTGGCAGACTGGTCACGGTGCGGCGACCTTTGGTAGATAGTTTCTGTACTAATTTGTATCAGCTGCCTGTGAAACACCTGTTGAAAGCTGCATCTGTTTTGGATTTGTTTTGCTACTTGGCATGTGCAGTGAGTCTAAGAGTCGACAGCTTGAACTCACACGGCAGCGTGTCACCGACTATGACCGCAACATTCTCAACCTGCGCAAGACCATGCAGAATGCCCGTGAGAGAAAGGTCAGTCACTAATTGTTTCAGAGGCATTGGGAAGAGTTTTGACAGGAGGTAACGGGTGGGCTCATCTCGGAAATTTGAGAACTGTTCACTTTTAATAAGAACAGATTTTTTTTAGCCAAATTGAGATTACTTTAAGGGTGCTGAACTCGTGCAGAAAACACCAAATCAAGATCACTTATGGACTCTTCATCATGGTGTAGGAGTAGAGCTACGGTGCAGAATGATGGTACGAAAATACTTGTGATTTAGTTGTGAAACAATTTAATATAAAAAAGGGAAGAAAAAACATGAGAACGAGTTATGCAGCAACTGTCCACGACTGTAACATGATGATAAACAGTCAGAAAGTGTGGTAATAGGGCACAAAACTGACAAGCTACTGAGACATTTACTTGCTGCGTAACTCGTTCTCATGTGTTTTCTTCTCTTTTTTTTACAAATATTACTGGCTCAGTATCCGAGTTAAAACCGTTTAATGGCTTTATTTATTGCAAGAAGGGTTGAGTCTTGTCAGTGAAGTTGTCTTAAACTCCGGAAAATGCGGTACACTGTATGATGCCCTAAGGTTGAGGTGGTTAGCAGAAATATTCGTCTGGAATTTAATTTCGTCTTTTTCGTCCAAGGAGCTTTTGGACTAAATTAAATGCCGGACTAATGTCGATTTGTTCAGCTTTTCAATACACTCTTATGATCCGTGGACGAAATTTACAACCGGACGAACTCCCTTTCTTTGGAGTTGGACGAAATTATTGACCGACGAAATTTTCTGCTTATACAGTACATACTGTGCTGGCACAGTGGGACCTCGACCACACCGCACCACACTGCTCCTGAGGTCTATTTTCACCTGCTCTCACTCTAGAGAGTGCATGTAACAACGTGTCTGTGCTGGTGACGTCATCACTCCACCGGCTGACCTCTGTCATTTGTCTCTCTTTCCGTCCTTCACACTAGCTGGAGATCACAGATCAGATGCAGCGAAGCCAAAAGCTGCAAGAGCAGAAGGTCGAGCTGGCTGGTTCAAACCAGAACTTATCTCGTGAAATTCAGGTCAGTGTGACGGTAGCAGTAGCACTAGTATTGATGGTGTGTGACTAGTTGTACGTTTGTGTGTGCGCGTGCATGTGTGTGTATGTGCATGTGTGTGTATGTGCATGCGTATGTGTGTGGTGTGTGTGTTTGTGTGTATTTGTGTGTGTGTGCATGTGTGTATGTGTGCATGTGTGTGTATGTGCATGTGTATGTGTGGTGTGTGTGTGTGCGTGCGTTACGTGAGAAGGTTTGTAGCAAGAAAAGGTTGAACTCCACGACTCTTCCCCTGCTACTCATGATTACAATGCTGTTTAGGTGGGAAACGTAAGAATGTGGAAGTGTCTTCACATTGGTAATTTTCTAATTTGTTCTTGGTTGTGTCTGTAGGAAGCGGAACGCAAGCTGGAGCCGTTGCAAGTAAGTGGCTGGTCTGTCTCATGTACATCATTGTTCATAATGTACAATGTAAATGCACGTGTGTAGTTGTGTGTGTGCGCGTGTGCGCACATGCGTGTTGGTGTTTTGGACTTGCATGATGCGGGTGCATCAGTTTAATTATAAAATGATTCTTTGCTTGTACAGCGCAAGCTGACGGAGCAGGAGGATGCACGTCGGAGACAGAAGGAGGAGCACAGCGCTAGTGAGGAGAAAGAGCTGCAGGGGGTCAGTAATAATCCTACACATCATGGCAAAATGGTGTCTGCTTTCCACACTTGAAGTGCTCCGCTGGGGGGGGGGATGTTTCGGTCTTTAATCACTTTATGGGGGTATGATCTACTTATATATGTCCCGGTGGTTTGGGATGGGCGCCAATAGGGCTACATGAGCAGAGAGATAGTGGGGTAAGCGAAGAGGCAGTGCTTACCGTACACTGCGGCGTACAGCACTGTGTGCAGTCGGCGTCTTCTCAACCAACTCCTTTGTGCACCACTGTTCTCTCAGTCTGCTCGCATTGAATTATTTCTTTGTTTGCTGACTCTGTGTTGTATGGTGCACGGTATGCTGCACCTGCCCACTGTTCCTGGCTCCAGATTAACGACATACGTGGCAAGGCAGCGAAGATCAAGGAGACAACAGATCGTATCAATGAGTGAGCGCATTGTCCTCTTTCTTTCTTTTTTGTATGTGCATGTTGATGTTGATGGTGATTGGTGATGTGCTGCGAGCTTCCAAATGACTGGCAGAAATGGTTTCTTTCTCCGACCTGCTTGGCAGATGTTTACAACTTGACATGTATGTATGATGAGTGCACTGGTAGGATGTGCTGCCAGTTGCCATCGTTCAGGTTCGGTTGGTCAGGTAATCACTAGGCTAACTTTTTGGCCACCGACACGCATGTTTATGTTGTGTACTTTTAGAGTACAGTAAGATCGGGCGCCGAAGAACGCAGGGGCTCGAGCGCAGCCTAGGAAAGTTCTTAAATTTTTGATTCTAGCCAGACCGTTCTTATTCACACGCGCGCGGCGAGTCGAGTGACGTCATGTACATGTACATGTACATGTAGTGCAATGTAGTACTTCTATTCTAAACTAGTGGGTGTCGTAAATGGGAATGACTGTACATGTAGCAGTTACTGTTTACACGTGTACATGACATGTACTCACCTCCCATACATGTACAATGTAGATCTACGTGTACATTTTTAAAAGTGTTCTTAAATCTGATAATTCTAGCCTGGACTGTTCTTAAATTTTGCCGGTTTTCCAGCCTGGGTGTTCTTCGGCGAGGTGTTCTTCGGCGCCCGATCTTACTGTAGTTTGTCCCGTCTTGAACATAACACAACTTTTCATTTGTTGGAATTTTGCTAATGAAGGCGCATCGCAGTCAGTTTACTGTGAACCGACTTGTATGTTCTTGAGGAGTATTTTCATGATTCTGTGTGTGTGTGTGTGTGTGTATGTGTCTGTGTCTGTGTATGCGTGTGTGCGTATGTGTGTGTGCACGCGCGTGTGTATGTGTGTGTGTGTTCAGGTACAATTCTCAAGGGAAAGGAGATGAAGTACAGCGAGCCCACTCACAGCTTGAACAAATCAGCAAGCGCCTCGCCACAACGGAAGAAGAGCGTACCAAGGTGGACGAACAGATCTCCAAGTTGAACAAATCAGTGGCGTCACATCAGGTACTGGAACACGCTAACGTCTGTGTTGTCTGTACTTGATACGTGTACATTTATTATTCTGCTTACTGTAAACCCCACAAACCTTTGCCATCGGGAATCTTTCACGGTTTTCGCTATGTGAAATCGCAAACGTGGGCCGGCGTGAAACGTAGAACTGTAGTAAAGAAATTGAGGAAATTGACCCCAATCACGAACATCTCCAGGAGCAAATTTGTCTGTGCTCGCAAATCGCGAACTAAAACAGGCGCAAAGGTTGTTTCCGGGTTTACAGTAGAAGTATGTTGGTTTTCATTGAAGTATTCATCTGTCTCCTCTTTGTTATGCCCACTTGTACCCAAGTCATGGTGACTACATTGTATGCCAACTTTCTCCCCTGCAAAATGAGCATGCATTACTAGTAGTGGTTAATATTGATATTGGTGGTGATGTAGTGTGTTCTTGTTATTGATGACACTTACTAGCTTCTTGCCCATGGGCGTGAGACATATGAAATCAAATACCGGTACTGAGCTCTGTGCCAACTGCTGTTGTCTCTCTGCTAGTTTTCTCGTTACACTACATAGTGGACCTGTCAAGAGCATGCAGCTTTACTGATAACTCTTTCTCTCCTCTGCTCTGCTCTGCCCTCCCTCTCTCTCTCTCTTTCACTCTCTGTCTCTCTGTCTCTCTCTCTCTCTCTCTCTCTCTCTCTGGCGCTCTCTCTCGCTCTCGCTCTCTCTCTCTCTCTCTCTCTCTCTCTCTCTCTCTCTCCGGCGCTCTCTCTTTCTCTCTCTCTCTCTCTCTCTCCGGCGCTCTCTCTTTCTCTCTCTCTCTCTCTCTCACTCTCTCTCTCACTCTCTCTCTCTCTCTCTCACTCTCTCTCTCACTCTCTCTCACTCTCTCTCTCTCTCTCACTTCCTAGGTTCACGAACGTGCCATCTCAGACAGTATGGACATACTGCGCTACGAGGACGAGATGATCGTCATCGACAATCGTGTGCAGGAATTGAGAGACAAGCTGGGCAGTGCAACGCGGAAAAACTCAAAACGGTGTGTGGCACAACTTTGTTCTTTTTATTTTGTTTTTGAAAGCACTGATGCCGGCGGTGGCGGTGGCAGATGTACATGTAGTAATATCCATTGACAGGGCGGACACATGCGTACTGTAGTAACAGCTATATTATAGTTATGTACAATGTAGCTACTCAATCTGCGGACAGCATGCTGTTTCGTTCTTTTTGAACTCATCAGCGCAGCACAGAGTAAATGAGGCTACAATGTAGCTAAAAAGTGCAGTACAGCTGCACACATGGCAAAGCGTCAACTGCTGTTGCCTTTACATTTGGATTGATCTGTGCATGCATGTGTGTACGTGTGTGTGTGTGTTTGTGCGTGTGTGTGTGTGTGTGTAAGTGTGTGTCTGTGTCAGTGTCTGTGTCTGTGCCTGTGTGTATGTGATTGTGTGTGTGTGTCTGTCTGTGTCTGTGCCTGTGTGTGTATGTGTGTCTGTGTGTCTGTCTGTGTGTCTGTCTGTGTGCGTGTGTATATGTGTATGTACATGTATGTTATGCTGCAGAGAGCGCGAAAAGCTTGAAGAGCAGGAGCAGGAGCTGAAGAGAGAGGTTGGTGCTTTAGCTATGACAAGTTGCTGCTTTTTTTCTCCAGTTGTCGTATGATGTGCCAACTTGCAAAAGTAGCTGCTGCTGCTGTTGTGCTGTTGCTGGTGCTGTTGCTGCTGCTGCTGCTGCTGGAGTCTTCTATTCTCACTGTGGCCTATATCTAGTAATGCATGGAGTTAAGCAGTGGGGAATGAATTGTTAGGGAAAGTACAGCGAGACCCATAAGAGTTGCTGTTGCCGTTGTTATCGTTGTCGTTGCATCAACAGCGAACTCGACATGAAGGGCGTCAGTTTGGTCTCGAGGAGGAAATCAAACGGTTACGCCGTGAGCTTGCAAGTGACATGTACAAGGATGCGGATG